CCCCAAAAAAAAACACACAAAAACAACAAAAACAACAACAACAACAAACAAGCCCTCCAACGCCCCCTCCCCCCAAAAAAACCCAAACAAACAAACAAACAAACAAACAAGCAACAAACAAACCAAAAAAAACTAACCAAGAAAACAAACAAACAACACAACGGAACAAGCAAACCAAACACACAAAAAACAACAACAACAAAACAAACAACAACCAAAATCAAATTTAAAAACAAAATACAAAAAACATTCTCTTCTTTATCCACCCCCAGGGCAAGAGAACCAGATCGAGGCCGAGGCGCGGATCAAAGACTTCATCCCCCTGGTCCAGACCGGCTGTTCCCGCCTTCTGCAATTCTTCCTCTGCTCTCTCTACGCGCCCATGTGTACAGAACTGGTGGACGAGACACTTATCATCCCAGCATGCCGGTCTATGTGTCTTCAGGTCAAGGCCAAGTGCGAACCGCTTCTACGCACCTTCAACTTTGACTGGCCACCCATGCTGGCTTGTGACAAACTTCCGGAAAAATCCGATCCGAGAAACGATCTGTGCATGGCTGCACCGAATGTGACCGATGAACCGGAGTACGGTGCTGGAACTCTTTCCGGCGGTCATTTCGAAGAATTCGAGAAGAAACTCGATAAGTTGGACGGGAATAAGAACTGGAAGAAAATTATTAAGGAAAGGTTGAACAAAAAAGGAGGGCTTATTATTATGAATCCAACGACTGCAAGGACCCGGTTGGGTGGTCAGAAGTTTCTGGACAAGCACCAGCCGATCCCTGACCCGTGCCCACCTCGGTTCGTGCATGTCGACAACATACCGCGCTCAAACAACACCTGCGCACCTCGCTGTGACGTAGATGTGCTCTTCAGGGAAGAAGACAAAAACTTTGCCGAGATCTGGATGATCGTGTGGGCGTCTCTCTGCTGTTTTTCAACTCTCTTGACAGTCACTACGTTTATCATAGACACCACGAGGTTTAAATACCCGGAGCGACCAATCATCTTTCTTTCCGTGTGCTATTTCATCCAATCAGCGGCGTATATCATTCGGGTGGCGACAGGACCTGAGTCTGTGTCATGTGACACGGCGCGGGACGGACGCCCGTTCCTGATTCAAGAAGGATTAGACAGCACCTGGTGCATTATCATCTTCCTCCTGCTCTATTTCTTCGGCATGGCCAGCGCTGTGTGGTGGGTTGTCCTCACCATCACCTGGTTTCTCGCCGCAGGCAGGAAGTGGGGTCAAGAGGCCATCGAGGCGTTGTCCAGTTACTTTCATCTGGCAGCATGGGCGATCCCTGCGGCCAAGACAATCGTGATCTTGACCATGCGACGCGTGGACGGAGACGAACTCACGGGACTGTGCTACGTGGGCAACCAGGACCCGGACGCTCTCACGGGGTTTGTTCTGGTGCCGCTGTGTATCTATCTCGTGGCCGGATTCGCCTTCATCCTCGCGGGATTCGCCGCCATGTTTCGCATCCGCAAAGACTTGAAAGAGGACGGGGTCAGCGCTAACATCAGGAAGCTGGAGAAGCTGATGGCAAAGATCGGAGTTTTTTCTGTGCTCTACACCGTCCCGGCCACCTGCGTCATAGGGTGCCACTTTTACGAGCGCGTCAATTTCTTACGGTGGCGGCGGCGTGCTATGAGTTTGCCGTGTCCTCTAGACACCAGCAATAAACTCTCCCCTCCTGTGGTAGACCCTGACTGCCCTCTGGAGCAGTCGATCCCAACCGTGGAGGTTTATATGCTCAAACTGTTCATGTCTCTCGTCATCGGCATCACGAGTGGTATGTGGATATGGAGCGGGAAGTCACTCTCCTCATGGAAGAATTTCTGCTCTCGTCGATTCACTCGGAGGAAGACGAACAACTTCAACGCCGAGTACCACCCGGCCCCAGTGATTATGATGAAGAACAGCCACCAGGGCAACAGCTCAAAGATCGGGAGCAACAGTAGCGGCTCCGCGAAAGTCATCGCGTCAAGAGTTTGACAAACGAACAAAGCAACGCTACACTTTTTCATTGATCGGTTTTTGAGACTGCACACTTTCTGAATAAACCTTCTCAGGGGCATCGGACAGACAGACTCGTGATATTCCCAACACTGGATCAGAAAGTGATTGATATCCGTGAGGCGGCTGTAGGCTGCTGCATTGTGGAAGGCTGACTAGCTATGGTAGCCTTATAAACCCGAAGAGAAGCAGAGACTTTGACGCCACAATATGTATATTGTAATCATAAAAACATTGTTTTGACTTTCCTACAGAGTTGACACTTAGAGTGAAACGATTGCCTCAGTGTAAGACTCTGTAATACTTTACTTCTCAAAATGGCGTAAGGGCGATGTTTACCCTAAGCACTTGAAAAGAAGGCTCAAAGGAAAATACTTCTTTTTTTATTGCTGTGGTGCATGTTGAAGTTGCTTTTAAATATCGTAGCTTCCTTTCAGACTGAGTGACGTTTGCTTGATGTATACATGTGACTGTCGCTAACGAGCTAATAGTTTGGATGTTCAAAGTGGACAAATGTTTCCGAAAAGTGTGTTTAAAATTTTTTAATAGGGTTTTCAAGTCTTCTGCAGTTGGTCAAGATTTTTGGAACTAGAGATTTCACACGGCGCCTTGTTCTCTATTTTTGTGCAGTATCATCTCCTAGTTACCAGTGGGTATTTTTCTAAAAATCAGTGGTCAACAAAAATGGTGAAGCACCGATTTAATGCCAAAAAAAACCCAGACTGAAACCTTTCTGTTGGGGATTTTTGTTTTGTTTTGTTTTTCTTTCATAGCCAGTCACCATGTTTTATTTTTTTCGACTGAGAAAGTGAATAATTCTTCCGATGCACTTTTTGCACACAGCAGCAAACTGTCGAAAGCAAAAAGCAGCTCAGAAAACTCCTGACACGGCAGTAAACCCGTGCTGGGCTTGTAGCGCGCTCAATCGTCCATAAACGTTGCGCCATAGAATGTTTTCACTTGACTACAAATGGCTGAGAAAAATTCTGGTTGGTTTACTTCTGTGTGATTTTAATAAAAATCCTGTTAATGTACATGCGCAGGAGAATAGGGAGAGGGGTATGGGGCATTTTTTTTTT